GAATCAGAATGGCCTCCTCAGGATAAAATTTACTGTAAGCAAAGTCTTCTGTTGCTGTGGAAACTATTAAAAATAGATTCTCCCGTATTTCCTCACTCCGCCCCCAACACATACACAGAGAGTATGATACAGCTGGGTTCCATCATTCTATGTTATTATTGCTTTTTAATTATGAATAATTTCCTCCCTTGCATGAGAAGATGGATTTCTAAAAAAGCACAAAAACTTTCCAAACTGAGTCCCTTCAGGATACATATCAATATGCAAACGAAGGCCAGCATACATTTCAGAATGTTTATGCCACAGGGTAAACACAACAACAAATCGCATTGAATTAACTCTCTCCATGCCAGCAACCTGAGCTTGTTAAAAAAATAGTCAATGCAGCTAATTTGGCAGGGATGGGGGAAGCAGGGAAGTATATTCTCTTTAGGTCAAGAATATGTGCAGGTCTCTTACATTAGTGCAATATCTCATGATGCAGTTTTACCCTTAAGTCATTCTACTTTCTATCTGTACACAATCTGGGGCAGAGACTACAAAATACAGGATTTTACAAGACAGCTGGCTCATTTCATAATATTAAATGCTGGAAGAAGCCAGCAGTTCACTGAACTCCAGATTCCCATGTATGACACTGGACAATTCATTATCCAAAACTCTTTAGCAGTTACCCACTCCTGACCAGCGTCCAGTTATTTTGCCTCATGCTTCCTTCAGATACTGAATAAATACTGTATAACCCTATGGTGGTTTATCTTAGTACAATTTCAGCTAAATGAAAATGCATACAGTATGCAGCCAAATCACTTGCATATTCATTAATTTAAGTTAATCCCACTAAACCCAATGGGCATCTGTCTTCCAGCCCCCACATTCATGAATCCAACAAGTGAATATTGTTTTTCTGAAGATCTAGACCAGCGGTATCCAAACCTAATGTAAGATGCTAGCAAAGTCTGAGAATGGTCAGGGACACTAGGAGCTGCCCAAAGACTGCAACATTGGGAACTTGTTCCAGATACCTCAAAAATATACAAAATAGGAAATTTCATCCTCCTCACCTTAGCTTACAGCCATAAAAAAGTTGTCTTTTTGATCTTCCAGGCAAGGGTATCACCATATTGAGTTACAGTGCTCAATCATCACACTTATGTCAATCATTGTTGTCTAGCCTTTAGTAAACCCAGAGCCAGAATAACATTGTAATTAAAGACCTGTTATAAGGAAGAAGAAAAAAACTCTACTCCTCAGAATGTCTACTTCTTAACTTTGACTGGTAAATAATTCACCCTACCACAAATTTGATTCATAGCAAAATCTATCTGCTCATTTTCATATTTTTTTAACCACAGAAACATGGTTGGTACCCAAACAAGAGATAATTAGGAAATGACAAAATAATGGTCTTGCACTATTCAAGGCTGGCATGTCATAAACAATCCAGGTTTCTTCCAGGTTTACTGACACCTAATAATTGAGATTTGACTTGATAGCACACATTTATCATTAATAAACAATAAAAGGCCATGAGTAGTAGTAGTTGTTTTTTTCAAAAAAAGGGTTGCACCACAGACCCCTTTCTGTCCCATGAACATGCTGGCACATTGGCTAGAATGTGCATGGAAATTGATGGTAGACACACTAGGAGCTTTTAAAAAAGTTTATGGTGAGAGTTATCCTATAGTTACTATTACTATGACAGGAGGGGAGGTACGGTACTCACAGATCTTGCACATCACTTTGAGCCCACATGGGATGAGAAGGGAAAGCTGCTTAAGGGATAGAAAGAACTTCTACAAGACAACCTAATATACACACAACACTGCTTGCACATGGATGTGGGACGGAAGCCTGTAGGGTGTGCATGGAGAACTGAAGGGAAATTGGCAGATAATTTTTTTCAGCCTTCAAGACTAGGTCCTGGCCCATCCATGTTAAATCCCCAGCAGTTATCCTGACATTCAGACATACAAAGAGATTCCACAAATCCTGGGTTAAATGTGGATAAACGCGGTTACACACTTCAGTGAACAACAGGCTCAGATAGGTACCATCTGTACCCAGAGTTCATTTTCAACAGCATCCTAATGCTATAAATTACCAGGGGGCATCCCAATGGCTCAGGCGTTAGACTAATTACTAGTGTTTTCACTTTCTGCCTTTTTCTCTTCCTGTGACTGAGGCCTTCTTCCCCCCCCCCCCCCCGCATTCTTGTGTGTGCTTTCAGGCATATGCTGCTGTTAATGGCACTTCTGTCACTTCATCTGCTGGCAAAGATTATGTTATCAGGGGAACCTTCTTGGTGTCAGAAAGAAGACTTCCAGCTCTACATTTCTAAGGGGGTGAGTCAAGCAGCTATAGAAGGGCAACCTGGAAGCCATCAACTTTCTGCTTGGTGGATTGTATAATAATACCTCTGGCAATGGCAATCCGGGGTGGACTCAAGAAAACATCTGTATCAGGCCGATGCACTGCTCAGTGTAGAAATGATAAAGTGAAAGGTATCATGTGAAACAAGTTTAAAAATAATTTGTAAATAAAATGTAATTCACAGTATGTTTTATTTACTTGTAGTGAAAACAAGAAAGCAGGCTTAAAAAGGAGGCCTTATAGAAAACAATTAGAGCCAGTATGGTATAGTGGGCAGACTGCTGGGCTAGGAGTCATGTAATGAGTGTTCAAATTTTCACTTGGCCATGGAAACCTAGTGGGTGGGTGGCAGCAATGTTAAATGCCTTCTTAAACATATCACATACTTCAAAAACATGGCCACACAACAACAGCATAGAAAATAAGAATGAACAACTTTTAAAATTATACTTGGCAGAAGCTGCTGAAGGAAAGAAAACAGGCAGGTGATAATTCTCATGCAGTAATTCTCCTTCTTGGCTGTACATCCTAACATGAGGAGCCGGTTTGAATGTGTCAGGGAAGTTACAAGTCTGGACTCCTAACAGAGTCACCCAAGGCAAAAAGGTCAAATGCATTAATGGTGCCATCAGCAAAAGAGAGATGAATGTTTTCAGTGGTGATGGGGCAAATGAATTCTTGAAGGCTAGCCACTGGGTGGCAGCACTGGAGGAAGGTGACACTGGCAGAGGATCTTTCACACACAATGGCAGTGACACTAGAGCTAACTTTTGTTAGTACTCTGCAAAAGAAAGCAAAGGTAAATTACTTTTTTAAACATTTCTTATCTTGAAAACCCTACAAGGAGACAATCCAAACTGAAACAAGAGATAGTGCTGTAAGCTGAGCCCACTAGATTGGAAGTCACTCAGTTAGGTACTGGGAAAAGCAAAGGATAAGGATGAATAGCTTTACTGTCAATGAAGCAACTAGATTAGAACCAGAAGGATGTTTAGAAGCCCATGGGCAAAAAGGTAAAAGGGAACTTCAATCCTGCATGAGACAATAGAACTGGAACATCTCATGTGAGAACTATGAGCTATGGTAAACTCAAAACAATAAAGTACAGTCGTGCCTCGCTTAACGATTGCCTCACTTAACGGGGAAATCACTATACAATTAAGTTTTTGTGATCGCTTTTGCGATCGCAAAACAATGTTTTAAATGTTTTTTTTTGTTTAACAATGATTGGTTCCCTGCTTCGGGAACCGATTTTCGCTTTATGACGATCAGCAAACAGCTGATCATCGGGTTTCAAAATGGCCACTGGCTGAAGTAAATGGCCCCCCACTGTTTTCTAGGACAGATTCCTCACTTTACAGGCACCGAAAATGGCCGCCGTATGGAGGATCTTCGCTGGATGAGCAGGTATTCAGCCCATTGGAATGCACTGAACGGTTTTCAATGCGTTTCAATGGTTTTTTTTCATTTCGATTGACGATGTTTTCGCTCTACAGCGATTTCGCTGGAACGAATTAACATCCTCAAGCGAGGCACCACTGTAAACAGTGGAAAGTTTAAATATTTTAGCACTGGGCACAAGCAAACAAAAATGAACTGGCATAGGACATTTTGAATCTGACAATTACAAACAGCTTTAGTCTGGAAATTACAAACTTAGAAGAAACAATGTAGCTTTAATACTGAGGTGAGGAATAGCACAGGCGATAAGATCCCACAATGCAAAATTTGACTGAATAATATCAATCAGACTTCTTGGAGTGCTTATCAATGTAACCATTAAAGTGTATTCTCCAACTGCAAGAATTATTTGTTATTGTTTGTTAGTCTGAAGAACTAATCATGGAGAAGAAAACTCCAAAATAAATATTCTTGTTTAGGTCTCATTCTCACTGAGCGCAATAACACTTCTGCATAAGGAGTTACTTTTTTGTGTGTTAATGAAGGCAACAAAGTCACACAACAAGAGTAATGTTAGTAGTGGGAAAGATGTAAAGAGAAATGTTTTGTAATTACTTTTTAATGTTATTTTAAAGGGTAGCTTAGACTTTTTTTAAATTTTATAAAATTATCTTGTATGAGTTTTATAAAATTCTCTTATCATGAGATTTATTTCAAAAAAGGAAGGAAGGAAGGAAGGAAAAGGCAGGACAAGTAATGTAATAAGTAATGTAACTAGTTACTTTAAAAATTACAATGGTGACAAGTTAAATAGGGAGGGACTTTGTAACAATTATGGCTTGCTGTCATGTGCTTGGACATATACACAGGTTTTCCAGTCAGCTGTTTGCCTAGATGCATAAACCAGTGAGAAAATTCTGAAAACCACTTGTACAATTTATCTTATGCATGGGGTATTTTGCAATGTACTTCTGGCCAAAGACACATTAATAAAATAGCACACAGCAACAAGCACACATTGAAAAGAAGGGATAGATAATATATAATGAGTTTTTCACTATCCTCTGTTGACTACATTTCTGAGTACAGGTTACACAAAAGCTCTAAAAGTACAAAGGTAAGAGACGCAGAACACATTTTGGATGGGAGTGGTACAAGCTAACTAGAGAAGCAGCTAACTTTGTTTTTAAAATGGCCATTGCAAAGGCACACACATATATACATACCTGAGATAAAAGGCAAGACATGTATAACCTGCAGATCATGGCAAGAAAAATCAAGAAACAAAGACAAAGAACAGGAGATAAGATGATGGATGCATAAACATGTAATCATGGACAACAGCAGCAATGTCTGATTGATTCAAACACCAGTTCTATCAATACATATTTTGACAGTAACAGAAGGAAAAGAATTTGACTCTGGTATAATATTTGTCATACACCTGCTCTAAAGATCTGAAAAACTGCAAGGTTTATATGGAGAGGTAAGATCTTTCAGACACCCTGAACCCATACAATAGGGTTGTGTAGGTCATAACTAGTACTTTGAATTAGACTTAGAAATGTTGTGGCAGTCAATGAAACTCTTGTGTCCAAGGATGGGCTCCCTGCAACTGGCAGCTGCAACATTTTGGACTAGCTGAAGTTTCCAAAAGCAGACCCACATACAGCATGTAGCAGGAATCCAAGCAAGATGTAACTAATATATATATATCACCATGACCTGATCAGGCATCTCCAGAAATGTGCATGCTTGCTTTGACTGTGTGGGGAAGAAACAGTTGAGTCTCTGGCACACACCATTCTAGAATGTAGTTTATATAAGTCTGAACGTACCCATTACCTCTACCCAATAATGTCTAAATGCATTAGTATACCTCCCGCAGACTACCTTAAGTTTCTGCTGTCCGGAGAGAACCAATTAATATCACAGTCAGTGGCTAAGTTTTTATTCTCAGTTTTAAGAATCCGTAAAGTGTTGTGTTAAGATAGATGTATGATTCAAGCTTTATATTCCTGCTATCTTTTGATATCTAACTTGTTTTGTATATTTTATGTAATGTTTTTATCCTTGTATTTTTGGGTCTTTGACCGTACAATAAATTCATTCATTCACAGTCTTAATGACTTGTGGAGTTAGGTGGAAAGAAGAGATAGAGCTAGGTGCCATTAGCATAACTGGTGGAACAGAATCCCAGTAGTCCAGATGAGATGTCCAGCAGTTTCATGTAGATGTGAAACAGTATGGGGACAGAAGTGAATCCTGAGAGGCCCCACAAAGCAACACCTAAGTGTTGGACAGGATTCCCCAGCACTAGCTTCTGAACTTGCCCCTCCAGGAAGGACCAGAGGCAGGGATGACACATTTCAGACAACCTGAAGTAAGCTTTTTATTGTGGGTTATCTGAAAACAGGGTTCAAAACTGCCCCGCTTTCCATATCCTGCTTTAATGCAAATCCTCACATTAAAGCAAAATGTGGAGTAGCTGCCAGCCAACCCACTGGCCAGTGCTGGAAAGCGTCCATCATTACTGACTGTGACGGACATGGGGTAGCAACTTGCTCACTTGACATGTAGTAAAACTGGAGACACTGGAGCTGCCCCCTGCCAGCAAGAATGTCATCACCAGTTGGTCAGTGCCAAAGGGGCTGGGAAGCCTCACAGCACTGGCCAGGCAGTGATGCTGCTCTTGCTTGAGGGGCAGCTCCAGCAGCTCTAGTTCTGTGGCATGTCAAGCCTGATTCCAGTGCTTTCTATAACAGGGAAGCCTCCCAGGTCTGGTTGGTCAGTGATGGAAGTCCTAGTGTGAGCTTAAACAGAATGCAATAGCACCACTTTAAAATCACACCAGGGCTTGCATCCTATGCAAGGACTGAGGTCCCTGCAAATTCCTTTCATGTCGTCCTTGATATGCAGAGCCATAGCAAAACAGTGTATTTAAGACTTATCCGAAGAGATGGTCCCAAAGGATGTCACGGCCAACAGCATCAAAAGTCGCCAAGACAAAAACAATAACAACAACAACAAAAAACCCCACCAACCTCACCTGATTGGTATCTAGGGTAGGTTCTCCACCAAAATGACCAAAGGTGTCTCTGCCCCAAAACGAGTTCTAAAACCAGATTGAAATGGATCTAGATAATCTATTTTATCCGAGAACCCTTGTAGCTGAGAAGCGTCACACATTCCAGTACTTTGCCCAAGAGTGATATCAGAGACTGGAAGGTAGTTATCCAGTGTGGTGGGATTCAAGGAGGGCTTTTTCAGTAGAAATGCTGGACCCCTTCCTTGCTACAGGGTGGTATTCACCACTCCCTTTACCCACTTGGCCATTTCTGGCTACTTTTACAAGTCAGGAAGGGCAAAAATCTAGCACATGTATCACAGTTCTAATCAATCCAAGGATCCTGTATGTATCCTTGGTTTGCCCAAGATGAAACATATCCCTTATCATGTAATAAGTAGGTGCCAAAGTTACACCAACAGAACCTGTGTCAACTACAGCATTCGAGTTAAAGCAGGTCCAAGTGACTTGTCTGCAAACTGCTATGCAGATTCTTTCCAGGGGACTGTTAATGATCTGCAACCTGTTTTTATGGGTATCTGTGTAATAGGCTCTTAATCACTTGAAACATATCCTTTGGACAACTCTGCAGGTGCAAGAGTGGCAGAGAAGAATGGATTCTTCACCACTGTCACAGAGGAGATCTTTCAATAAGATCTTGCCTGTGTGTGGGTATAGATCTACTCCATATTTTCTGCCATCGCCACTGTAGCCTTTACCCTACTCATTTGTCACCCTTAGCTTTCTAGTAAACCGAGGTGGGGATTGGTTGGGGGCTCTTGTGATTTCCCCATTTTTGAATTCAACTAGCCTTTGATAGGATTATCTGTTGATTGACAACAAGCTCCTCAAGAAAGCATTTCAATCCATAAGCCTCCTGCAGTGGATCATCTTAAATGGCCCCCACCTTGGCAGAGGCTCTGAGTTCTACGTTTAACTGTTTTAGCAGAAACATGGAGGTCCACCTCTCTGCATCAGCAGATGGAAGTTCCCATCAGACACTTTCAGCCTAGCATCTTCAAAAATCAGCAGAATCACACACCTGAAGTCCCACACCCTGCTTTGTCCTAAAGTGAATGGAAACGCATATGGATGACAGCCCCGAGATCTATCCCCTTTCCCAAACTGCTAAAACTTCCAGTAATTGAGATTCCACAGTCGGCCGTGGCAAGCTTGCTCCCCCCCACCCACAGCAGCCAGCCCAGAATAATGATAAATAAGAGGAACAAAATGAAAATGCCACATTTTTCAAAATGATCTGTCAAAGTGAAACCATGTAATCTAGTTTCATTAGGCTCTGTTGTCCCAGAGATGACTGTGTTGTCAAATCACAAGTAGAGGAATCTCTCACCACTGCAGTGCCTGTCTTCTAATTTGCCTTGCTTTGCCTTACCTCCCTCCCACCACCCAAAACCCCTTAACAGATAGGGAGAGAGAGAGAGAAAATCTGTAACACAGATACTGCTCCATCTGTATATCGAGCACTTCCTCTGTATCTTTCACATGAAGTGGGAGCTGGGGGTGGGGTGGGGCAGGGGTTACAAGATGCATGGGCATCCTCAATGTTTTATTCCAAAGACCACTCCAATGAAATTTAGAAGGTCAAGAAGCGCTAATTCACAACAGGTGGGACACAGGAAGTAACCAGAATGCATCTGAATTGGAGGAAGGAAGGTGGTATATTGCTGAAATGTGGGGCAAACAAGATAGAAGGAAGAACTTTAGTGGTGGTGAATACATACTGCTAGACATAGGAAGGGACACAAGATGTCCCAAATAGGATATTTTAAAAGTGCTGGATACATAAATAGCCTCTAGGTAAGAAAATGCGCCTATGCTGTAATGTTTGAACTGTTAAAAACAGTATTTCCACACAAACACCCGGCACCAGCAACCAATATAGGCACTGACTTGTCACTCAAGGTACTTGTGGCAGAATCAATTTCAAATGTCACAGTGACATCTCTATTGCCTGTATGTGTGTGTCTGGGGGGGAAGGAGTGGAGTAATATTTAAGAAGTGATTCTTAGTCTCTTGTTAAAGGGGTTATAAAAGCCTCCCTAATTAGCTGGTGGGAAACCTCAGAAACATCTGCCAGGTAATGCCCCTCCATCCCAAGCATGTATACTGTAGCTGCCTTTCTTTCACATACAGCCATATGGGAATAAAGGCCAGAATTTCCCTTACAATTCATAAGGAAAGGTCAGTTTGTGAAGCACTCTAGCAAAGCTGTATTTGTTTGCTGTTTCTGGGGGAAGTAGTAGACTCCAGCTTCCACAAATGATCCATCTATCCTTCCCCAGGTTATACAAACAAAGGCTCCTTTCCTTCTAGATTACTGGTGCCAGGAAGAAGCCAGTGGTAATAAATGGAAAGAAGAGAACAAATAAATGAGCATCCTTTACTGTGTCTAGCGTGCCATCTTTGGACAAGTGGAACAGCAAAATCCCCCCCATTTTTTTAAAGCTGTGGAGTGAATTTCTTCTGAGGGCACCATGGCTGCTCTAACTCCTGAAACCTACCAGCCCTCCAACACCCCTTCGGGGCAGGGCACCTGGCATTCATGATGTATACTGACAGCGCTGGCCTGTGAGCTGGAACATGGAGGGATAGCTCAAGAGGCATTCCCCCTCCTCCTATATAGCTGCCTTGTCAACCTCTGTTGGGCGTTTAGTTTCCTTTGGGTCTTTTGCAGCATTGCTAATAAGAGCCTCAGTGGCTGTGTGTGCCCAGGCATCGTTGCCAGAGGAAGGATGCAGAGTGCCTCATTAAAATAATTAGTTTAACATCTAAAGGATAGGGAAGAAGAGAAGCTAAAGAGCATGCCCCTCACTATACACAGACTGCCTTACCCTTTGGCATAAAGCCCCACTCAGAGTGGACAAAGTCATTAATGCAAGTTCTCTCTACTTTAAGCAACCTGATGCGCCCCAGGCAGACTGCCTGCAGGCCCTTTTTCGCCTTTACCTTGTCCCCAAAGAAGCTTAGACCACTCTTCGCCTGTCTCAGCTGCTTCCGATAACTGATCTACTGCAGCAAATGGACTGTGGACAAGCAAAGAACGACTTGTTTATTTAGAATGCTTGCAGACCACGTTTCCACAATTTTTAAGTGGATCCTAATTGATAAAATAAAATACAAAATGGCACTGATAGCAACCCCCCTTCCCCATTGAAATATTTAAACC